CCCCCCCCATGATTTTTTTAAATGGTTTTGATTTATAATTGCTTTTGATGATCATTACTTATACAAAAGCAATATTAATATTTATAAATGAAGGGAAACAGAAACCTTTTCACAGATCACAGAACAACTACAATCGCAAAACCTAAGCTACGCCTTTGAACTTATCATTTCTGTTTGAGATCAAGCCATCTCACTTTTTTTTTTCCACGGTAGAACTCTTGTCGTTGCCTTTACATTCATTCTGACATGTTGGCTTGAGACACTCACTGTTGATGATGATGTTAAAGCTGCATTAACTAAGATTTAGTACAAATTTGGATAGAACAAGTCAAGACTTGTCTAGAAGTGCTGTCTCCCTGCTGTCCCAACCCCCCACCCCACTCCCCTACCTTCAGACCTTGTGCTTATTTCTTGCCCTCTGTGGCCCCTGTTTAGGCCATGTCTGAGATGATAATTCACTATTGTAACATTGTAGATAAGTCAGAAAATACAGAAGTGCCATGGGCTCTTTAACTTTCAACGCCTAACATGAAACTTCTCTTGTTTCATGTGCAACTCATGTTACCGTATAACATTATGTGTTGAGTATGAATCCAATGCAATAGTGACTAGAACATTAGTCACTGCAGTGCCACTGAAAACCATGGGCTCTGTTCTGTACAGATTAATACCGCTGCTGCGCTGCCTGACTGCCACAGCTGTCTCCGCCTGTGGTTACCACATAGGATGTAGTATCACAGATGAGGAGGAGCAGTGGGAGAAGAGGAGGGGATACTGCCTGAGTTTGTTTTGACACTCTCTCTTTGGCACAGCTTCCTGAGAGGGAGGAAGTTAGGTAGAGCTGCTTTAATAAATAAAACGGACAATGCACAAGCACTTTCCCCACAGTTGTAGTCTTGACTGGTTTTGAAATAAAGTCCAGAGTCTGCTTTGTCCGAGACAACAGTAAAAATGTGGTCTATTCTGAGATGACACCAAAACCTTCAAAAAGTGGTCTTGAGACCAAGACTGATCTTGAGGACTGTAACACTATACCCAACTACCCCTCAACCTCATACACCTCGCCACCAGGAGGTGGTCAGCCGCCGTCACAGCCCCACAGAGCTATTGAGTCAGTTCAGTTTCAGTTCACTTTATTTGTATAGGGCCAAATCACATTACAATCCTGTCAGAGCACTTGACATGGTAAGGTCTAGACCTTACTATAATAATTACTGTTGTAGAAATAAACACATCAAATCCCCCTTGAGCACACACTCATTTCCAAAGCAGGCCAGTGGAAACTAAAGTAAATCTTGACCTGAGCTTGAACAATGGTTCAAGTTCAGTTCATTTTGGGTCAATAAGTCACTGTGGTGTAAAAGGGAACCAGTACTGGCTGACTGGAGGAGGCTTTCCCTCAAGAACACACAAGGTACACAAAACCCCTGTCAATCATTAAGCATTTAACTGATTGAACCAAGAGCCAAGAGGCAGTACAGAGAGAAGCTGAATGGCTTTTGTTCTACTGCTGACTCCGGACGGATGTGGCAAGGCCTGCAGCACATCACAGACTACAGGACCACCACCAGCATGATCAGCTCTACAGACAGCCTGCCGGATGACCTCAACACATTCTACACCCGCTTTGAGACCTCCAGCCACAGCACAGAGAGGAGGCACACATACACTGAGAACACCCAACCCCCCCACCTCCCCTCGACTAACTCTCAGCAGGCCAGGTACGCACAGTCCTGAGGAAGATCAACCCCCACAAAGCGGCAGGACTGGACAAGATCCCTGGGAGGGCTCTCAGGGCACGTGCCAGCGAGCTGGCTGAAGTTCTCACCACCATCTTCAATCTCTCCCTCAGCCAAAGCACCGTTCCCACCTGCTTTAAGACCACAACCATCGTCCCCCTTCCCAAGAAAAGCCCAGTCACCTGCCTGAACAACTACAGGCCAGTGGCACTTACCCCAATCATTATGAAGTGTTTTGAGAGAGTGGTGCTGGTCCACATTCAGAGCAGTATACCAGGCACCCTGGACCCCCTGCAGTATGCTTACAGGGCCACCTCGGATGCCATCGCGGCTGCCCTCCACTATTCCCTTTCTCACCTGGAAAATGGAGACTCCTACATTGTGATACTCTTCATTGGCTAAAGCTCTGCCTTCAACACAGTTGTCCCCCACAAACTGTCTACACTAGGTCTGCACCCCACCCTCTGTGACTGGCTCCTGGACTTTCTGACTGGAAGGCCCCAGACTGTCAGGATTGGCAATAGGACTTCAGCCAGCATTGTTACGAAC